ATATATGATCATATAAACATGTGTTATCAGATATATGATCACATAAACATGTGTTATCAGATATATGATCATATAAACATGTGTCATCAGATATATATGATCATATAAACACGTGTTATCAGATATATATGATCACATAAACATGTGTTATCAGATATATGATCACATAAACATGTGTTATCAGATATATGATCACATAAACATGTGTTATCAGATATATGATCACATAAACGTGTTGTCAGATATATATGATCATATAAACACGTGTTATCAGATATATGATCACATAAACATGTGTTATCAGATATATATGATCACATAAACGTGTTATCAGATATAATGATCACATAAACATGTGTTATCAGATATAATGATCACATAAACGTGTGTTATCAGATATAATGATCATATAAACACATGTTATCAGATATATGATCATATAAACATGTGTTATCAGATATAATGATCATATAAACATGTGTTATCAGATATATATGATCACATAAACATGTGTTATCAGATATATGATCACATAAACATGTGTTATCAGATATATATGATCACATAAACATGTGTTATCAGATATATGATCACATAAACATGTGTTATCAGATATATGATCACATAAACGTGTTGTCAGATATATATGATCATATAAACATGTGTTATCAGATATATGATCATATAAACATGTGTTATCAGATATATGATCACATAAACATGTGTTATCAGATATATATGATCATATAAACGTGTTATCAGATATATGACCACATAAACATGTTATCAGATATAATGATCACATAAACATGTGTTATCAGATATAATGATCACATAAACGTGTGTTATCAGATATATGATCACATAAACATGTGTTATCAGATATATGATCACATAAACACGTGTTATCAGATATAATGATCACATAAACATGTGTTATCAAATATATGATCATATAAACATGTGTTATCAGATATAATGATCACATAAACATGTGTTATCAAATATATGATCATATAAACATGTGTTATCAGATATAATGATCATATAAACATGTGATATCAGATATAATGATCATATAAACATGTGTTATCAGATATATATAATCATATAAACTTGTGGTGTCAGAGCAAGGTTCGGAGTGGTTACCATGCCGACACAGAAGACGGTGAAGAGCAGGAACCAGGGCAGGTCGGTGCAGCTCCGGTCCTCCAGTGGTCTCCATTCTCTCTTTGTCCTCTGAAACACACACAAACACACGGTCACACCGGGAGCGGAGCCGGGCCTGCAGCACCGGGCCGAGCCGAGCCGTGCCGGGCTGGGTCCATCTCTCAGGCCCGATCTCCATCACCAGTCAGCCCACACACAGCTCCATGTTGAACCGGAGCGGAGCAGCAGAGAGCTGAGCAGTGACATGACGGTCCCGTTACCAGGCCCCGGTAACCCGCCTGGAGCTAATTGGATTACAGCTCCTGGCTCTAATCCCAGCTCGGCCCTCTCTGCTCCCCGGGACCGGTTTCCCTTTCACCGTGAAAAAATAAACACGCACCGGTGCTCTGCTGAAGGGCACCGGGGGGGTGGAGGAGGGAGAAGACGGTACCGGGCCGGGCCGAGCCGGACCGGCCGCTCTTACCTCCGTGCTACCGCAGCATCCCATTGCAGTCAGGGTGGACGTGCCCGGAGCCTCACGGAGCCTCACGGAGCTTCAGCTCAGCAGCAGCGGGGTCTGGAAACCGACAGGCGGGGGAAGAGACGGACAGCCCCGCGCGCTCTGCCTGCATGCACTCACTGCGCAGCGGCGCGATCCCGGAGGCCGAGCCCGGAGCGGAGACGGTCCCGACGGTCAGACGGAGCGGACCGGCCCGCTGAGCATGCTACTGTCGGTGCCTCCTCCGGTTACCGTACCGAGCTGGGATTAACGGCCGAGGATTTCTCCGCCACACTTCCTGGTGGGCCGTCAGGTGCAGCGGCCATTCATCTCATTGCGCATGCGCAATTCGTGCTCGTGCCGGAGCGGAGAAGCTGAACAACAAACCGTTTTACCGGCGGAGCTGCAGGTGTAATACCTGGAGTGACCACTGAGTGGAGGCTGACGGCAGGGTGGCGCTGTTTCCACCTCAAAGACAAACAATTAACAACGGGTTGGGTTTATAGATTTAGTTTTTGTAGTTTTCTTCTATTTATTTGTAGTTTTATTTATGTCTTCTTTCATTTATTGGTGTTTTTAAATTGTATTTTTGTATTAATTTGTAGTTTTATTTACATGTTCTTCTGTTTATTTGTAGCTTCTGTTTTTTTATCTACTTGTAGTTTTATTTATGCATTGTTTTAGTTGTTTGTTGTTATGTTTATGTCTTTTCATTTGTTTGTAGTTTTATTTGTGTTCTTTTATTAATTTGTAGTTTCACTGATGTGTTCTTTTGTTTATTTGTAGTTTTATTTATGCATTGTTTTAGTTGTTTGTGATTATATTAATGTCTTTTATTTGCTTGTAGTTTTGTGTTCTTCTATTTATTTGTATCCTTATTTATGTTCTTTAATTAACTTGTAGTTTCATTGATGTGTTCTTTTATCTACTTGCGGTTTTATTTGTTTGCTTGTAGATTTCTGTTTTTTATTTGTTTCTAGTTTTATTCTAATATTTTAAATATCCAGCATGTTGATGTTATTGACTTCCTGTGTTACATTAAATGTATAATTATTATAATTTTTACACCTGTAGTGAAATGTTTTCAAAGTCACAGCTGATATTTATTGGTTATAAATATATTTACATTTTAACAAATATTCTGATACTCTTGTACATGTTAGTTGTGATGCAGCGTTTTCACATTGTTGAACTTCTACTTCTACAGGATCACAGGACGTCTTCCACCACTGACAAATCAGACTTGATTAAAGAAGATTAGAATTATAAAGTGTTAAAATCATTTCCTTTAGTAAAAGTAACGGCACCACAGTGTGGAAATTCTCTGTTACAAGAAAAAGTCTTGCCTTAAATAAATGTACAGAAGGAGTGAAAAGTATTGTCAAAATAAAGTATTCATGGTGCACACTGTGTTATTTTATGTTACTGATGTGTTCATATGTTTGTGGTATTTAAGGGTGTAATGTGTTTAATCTTTTTTTATGAACACATCAAGTTTTATATGTGTAAACTAACAGCTGTCAGATGCGTCCTGCAGCACAGAGGAGCATTAAGAACATCACGTCCATCACTGTCTCACAGTCCAGCAGCTTTAATGAAGACGAGGCGTTCACTGTCGACACGTAAAACCACAAATCTTTTATCAGAATCTTTTATTTACCTTTTTTCTCAGATAAACCTGCTGCTGAGAGCTCGAGGAGAGACGCTTTGGGTCCATGTTCCTGGAGGGTCCTGGATAGTTCTGGAGAGTTCCGGAGAATCCTGAAAGTCCTGGATAGTCCTGGAAAGTCCAGCAGAGTCCTGTAGTTCCTGTGAGACTGAGGACAGCAGCGATGTGGGTCTGATCAGCCTGCAGAGCACAGAGAGCTTTTGTCTTATTGTTTACTGTTGTACCAGGCTGAACACTGAGTGTGTGTGTGTGTGTGTGTGTGTGTGTGTGTGTGAGGGAAAGAGAGAGAGAGAGAGAGAGAGAGAGAGAGATTTCTTATCGAATCTTTAAGGAAGTAAAAACTGATATTTTTGTCACATAATTTAATTTAATACAAAATGAATATTTTGGCTCTCGTGTTCTTTTCATCACATTTACAATTGTCCTTCCCTTTAAATAAAAACAAAATAAATAAAAGTGAAAAATGTTTTTTTATCTTTAAAGGACAGGTTGAATCTTCATGATGTCATGGAAAGTTACTGAGTACATTTACCCAGTATACTGTGTCTCCAGTTAGTTTTACTTTGTACTTGTACTGCAGTTTGTTTCAGCTTCATTCATACACAAAATATCAGGAAAACATTCAAAACACAAAAAAACAAAAAACTAACTAAATAAATAAATGAAATCAGTTCAGGGAGAAAAATAAGACCAAAAAAAAACATAAATGAACAGAAATAAAATACAAATTCAAAGGACAGATATTCACTTACAGTGCAGTAATTTATTATACTTTTACTGTACTACATTTTTTTTATTGATTACTTTTTAAAAATGTACAAAAAACAACCAAACAAATAATTGATCAGTTGACAAATACGAGTAAGTGTTATGTTTTATACATATAAATATGTTTTTGTTATAAATTATAGATAAATCTAAGGTATTAATATGTCATGAATATGTCATTGTTATAAGTATTAGATAAATATACAACTGTTGTAAATAAACAAATATATGTTATTGTTATGTTATAGACAAACACACATTGTTACAAGTTACAAATAAAAACAAGTTATTGATAAAGTTATAATGTTATTGTTTTAAGTTAAGTTAAATATTTCAATATAAGTTACTGAAATATGTTAAAGATAAATATAAGTTATTGTTATGAGTCATAGATAAACATGTTATTGATATTTTATACATTATTACAAGTCATTGTTATAAGTTCTGGATAAATTTAAGTTATTGATATGTTATTGATAAATATAAGTTAGAATAATTTATAAATGTTATTGAAGTTATAGATAAATATAATTATTAGTTTAGGATAAATAAAATGTTATTTAGAGGTGAATATAAGTCGATATAAGATACAGATAAATAAACTAAAAATAAAGTTATTGATAAATATGTTACTGTTAAAACATACAAATGTTATTGTTGAAAATTATAGATATATATATTTGTTGTAAGTTCTCAATAAATATAGATGTTATTGATATAAGTTAAAAAAAATATGCCATAGATAAATATGTTGTTATAGAGAAACAGAGACTACGCTACTCTGGTAAGTTAAAATGTTATAAATATTAGTTATAAGTTATTAATATAAGTTACTGTTGTATGTTATAGATAAATATGTTATTGTAATAAGTAAAAGATAGATGTAAGATATAGAAAAATATAAGTTATTGTTAGACAGAGGCCGGAGGAAACTTTGTCTCTGCAGATGTTTCAATAAACTTTAGTCAGTTAAAATCATGACAGACTGAACTTCCTGTTTCTTTCTTCTTCTCCTCCTGTTTCTCAGTCTCAGGACTTTAACTCACTTCCTGTTGACGGCAGAGAATCTGATCAGAGATCTGCTGCTGTCGACACAAACTGAACGAGTTTGACCTGCAGAAACTCTCAGCAGCCTACAAACTGATCCTGTTACAGCTTCCTGTTTATATTAATGTTTCTATCCTTCAGCATGAGCCACCTGATCCTCAGACACAAGGCTGCGGCGCTGCCTCCTGTCTACAGTTTAGTCGTTGCTGAATACATCCACGTCCTGCAGGTGGAGCTGTTGGGTAGCTGACAAAGCTAATGTTCGCATGCTAACACACAAGATTTTCAAATTATGTTTTATTAAAATAACACAACAAAACTATAATTATAAAATATTAGAACATGAATGACGTAGTTAGCTTAGCATCATCAGAAACTTCCCTCTCATTATAAACTGTGATTAAAGCTACCACACAGAAATTAAAAGTTAAACATTTATAAATATTCATCTTTGAGCCTCTAAAACAGAAATGTTTGGACGTTGTTTGGATGTCAGGACAGATGTTTGCTAAAAACAGATTTACATATTTAATGAATTCTTTATCAACTGAGACACTTCTGAAGTTCAATGACCTGATTTAAATCAATAGGTTGAAGGTCGTTACTGAGTTTATGTTCAGACTAACGTTCAAAGGCGATGATGGTGGACAAGTGGACATGTGGACAGGTGGACCGGAGGACATGTGGACAGGTGGACCAGAGGACATGTGGACAGGTGGACCAGAGGACATGTGGACAGGTGGACAAGAGGACAGGTGGACCAGAGGACATGTGGACAGGTGGACTGGAGGACATGTGGACCAGAGGACAGGTGGACCAGAGGACATGTGGACAGGTGGACTGGAGGACATGTGGACCGGAGGACAGGTGGACGAGAGGACATGTGGACAGGTGGACCGGAGGACAGGTGGACCAGAGGACATGTGGACCGGAGGACAGGTGGACGAGAGGACATGTGGACAGGTGGACGAGAGGACATGTGGACAGGTGGACTGGAGGACAGGTGGACCAGAGGACATGTGGACAGGTGGACCGGAGGACAGGTGGACCAGAGGACATGTGGACAGGTGGACCGGAGGACAGGTGGACCAGAGAACATGTGGACAGGTGGACCGGAGGACAGGTGGACCAGAGGACATGTGGACCAGAGAACATGTGGACCAGAGGACATGTGGACCAGAGGACATGTGGACAGGTGGACCGGAGGACAGTGAAGGTGAACATATCAGATGGCTGCTGGAGAGGAAATGACTCAGACTTCAATTCAGTTCTTAGCTTTTATTTTTTTACATCACATTTTCGTCCTCTTACATTTACACAGACTGGTTCCCTCCGCCAGTTAAACCAGTCCAACCAGATCCACTGGATTCATTTAAGGCACATTAAAGGCGATTCATTCATTTATTAACAAAATAATGAAGATTTTTGGTCTGAAGATAAACAAACAAACCTGTCAACAACACAAACACACATTCATATACTTCTATCTTTGTGAGGATCTTCACATATTGCATTCCTAAGCCCATTACCCTAACCCTGACCTTAACCACCACAGCTAAATACCAAACCCCGTCCCCGTCCCCGACCTTAACCTAAACCTGATTATAACCTGAACCTTAAATCAAGTCTGTGCCCTCTAACAGGCCGCTAAAGAGGAGCAAAGCGGCAAAAATGTCCTCATTTACCAAAATGTCCTTGCTCTGTTCAAAAAAAGTTTCGGTCCCCACTATGTAGCAAATACAATCAACACACACGCACACACACACACACACACACACACACACACACACAATTTGATTCCGAGTTTCACCTGTCGGGTCCCTCAGTCTGATCTGGACACACACCTGCAGCTGTCAGGTGACCTCATGTTAGAGTCTTTGGACCAACAGCTCTGATAAGGACACTTGGAGATACAATCGATCAAAGTATTGATTGTTTTGGCTGAAAGCTGATCAGGATGCAGATTTTAGAGATAAACTCTGCAGGATTTTCATAAAAATGAACATATACACTCACAGAGTCGTCACAATGACCCACTCTCAGTGTGGTGGTGAGTTTATCTGCAGAGACTCTGCTCTCTGACTGGAGTTTATTACTCTCTGCTTGTTCTGCCGTGTTCAGGACGTTCCTGGTCACAGCGCTCAGGTGAGGTCGGGACTTTGTAAAAAAGGTGGCAACCAGGTGCCAGACCGTCAGCAGCACGCATCCGAGAGGAAGCTACAAAAAACGCAGACACAGAAGGATAAAGAGCAAAAAATACAGGAACAAGAGTGAACCTGGGGTCAGATTTCACTTTGACTGGTGAGTACGTGCAAGGGACGGCTGTGATTTATTAAAGTGGGGCTGTATGACGCATTTATCCACAGTCACTGTGTTACAAACACACTAACTGATGGAGGCAGCTCCTGTGTTCACTGGTGTTAAGTCACTGGAGTCTGGCTGAGAAGAGAGAGATATAACAGCTTTATTCTCCTGTTGGAAATCACTGTCTGTTTCTCCAAACTGACGAACTGACATCTACTGTAGGCGACACACTGTCTACAGATAAATACCTCATATAAACACACTTTAATAAATCCAAACTGTCCCTTTGACAAACAGTAACTGTCACTTCCTGCAGAGTTTACCTTTAAATGAATCACAGAACCCACTGATTGTATCAAAAATAAACATCAATTAATCACCTGATTATCAAAGACTTTAAAACACACACACACACACACACACACACACACACACACACACACACACACACACACAGGGTTGTGTGTTTAGATCTAGTTAAAGCTCAGTTCAGTCAGCGGCCCTCGAGTTTCAGATGATTCTGATTATTTTGTTTTTTATCTAAATAAAAAACTGAACCTGAACTCAACGGCCGCTCGCTGCCTTCGTCTCACAGTCTTCATCAGCAGGTGGACTCAGATCTCACCTGAGTCGTCCCCCTCTGAGGAAGACCATGAGGCTGGTTAAAGTAAGTAAGAACCAGACCAACGATCTGGATCAGAATCAGTTCCAGGATCCAGATTAGATCAGACCCAGGACCTGGATCAGGACAGATCTAAACCCACCCTGTTTATTACCCATAATCCTCCACCAATTAAGCCCGCACTGTGTGGCCCAGCAGCCCTGATTGATTTTCAAAATAAAAGGCTCGTTCAGGATGTGTTGCAGCAGCATCTGACAGACTGACGGAGGCAGCCGATTGGCTACCTTCAGTGACCAATCAGAGACGAGTCCCGGAGGCCCGGCAGAGACAAATAAAAACAACAACAACACAAAGCTTCAGTCTGTTTGTGCAAAAAAGAAGAAGAATCAAAGAAACAGCAGAAACAGCTGATCTGAGTCCAGCATGTCTGATCCTGAAACCTGAAGGCACCATTTGGTTCGACTGCATCAGTCCAGCTCTCCTCTTCCTGTCAGCTGACCTCTGTGGCTCGTCGTCATGGTTTTCCCACGTCCACTGTGATTTTAGTGAACAGGTCAAACTTCTCTATCTTCACCACTTTGTAGGACAACGAGTTGATCCCGTCTCTGTGCATCGTCTCTCTGGTGTGAGCGATCCGGTTGAACCTGACAGACAAAACAAAGGGACACAGGTGACTGAGGTGTTCTTAAAACTATCCTTCGCCATCTTTACCAGGAAAAGGCGACACACTGAGCTTCACAGAGGTGAGGACAAGAACAGGTGTGTGGACAGGTGTCAGATCTGTGCAGAGACACATCTCATACAGCATGAAGATAACATCCAGAACACAAGTCTGACTCTCATGAGAAAAACTTACAACTAATAAAGTCACCTGACGCCACAGTTTCAACACTGATTGGTCCACAGTCACTCCCTTGCATCTATATCCTGCATCTGGGGCAGTGAGGCTCCGTCTGATCGGTCACATATACTGACATGTAACGTGTGACTGTGCGACACATGTAAATTACTGTTAATCTCAGTTCAAGACGTCTTTTTTGAGACTGTTATCGCACATGTTGAGGTCATGATGAGAGTTACATTTGGATATATTGTGCAGCTCTCGTAGGAAAATCGTCTCTTTCAAGATGCTGAGAGATCCACATTCAGACCGACCAGGATCAAGCAGCTACAGCCTCTGACCTGTAGCGAGAGGTCGTTCACACGCCGCGTCATGCACCCTCAAATTTATTGTTTTTATTGTAGGCACGCAGCACATTTGCCCAAACGCACATTTTTCAGTGCATGACAACAGCAGCAGTCACCACGTCATGTGACGAGGACCGACCAATCACAGCTGACGGATATCTTTCCTTCTTCAGTAAATATCAGTGTGTGATCAATATGGAGGAGGAGATGATCGTGTTAGTGCAGAGCTGTCAGAGCGTCACGTCTGTCCCACAGACACTCAGGAAGTAGATCAGCTCTGACCTCAGGATCTCATTTAAGTAGGCTGTGATGCGGTGCTGGTTATTGTTGCTTAGCAACCTCAGAAACAACCTGTCTCCCCGACCCTGAAAGTTGGCACAGAGGAGTCACAAAAGTATCACCCGGCGTCCGACCTTGTGCTTTCCAGTTGGTTAAAGACGCAGCACGTGTACGGGCCCTGAGGCAGCTCTGACAGTGAGGACGACCTGCTGGACTGGAGGATGAACTCCAGACCGTCGAACCCAAAACTCTCAAAACCAGCAAAAAAAAAAGTTCTTGTTCATTCAGACATCAGGTTCAAAGAGTGTCTTCAACACTGCAGGAAATGTAGTGACGTGCCTGCGCTCGTCTCTTGAGCCTGAAGATGTCGACATGCAGGTTTCTTTTCTTGTTACGAAGCTGCAGACACTGAGACCTGCACAGACCTGAACTGTTCTTAATGGATGTGACTGAATATTTAACTTTCAGTCAGTTTATATTCTTGGTACAGTTTGATTTGTGTTTTGCCTCCAGATAATGATCTGAGTTCAGGTTATTCTGATGCAGACGGAGAGAGTCTGTCTTTAGACTTCTTTTGGAAATCTGTTTAAGAAGGTGCTGCTGAGTTAAGGACAGTAAAACCTTTGACCTTTGGCTGAGGGAGCCTGACACTGTGATTCATGTTGAAGGCCTCTGATGTAAACGTTCCAACAAGGAAAACTTCTTGAAAATCTGGAAACTTTTTCTCAACAACGACCCAGCAGCAGTGAACTGACTCATATCTCCTGACGTTAGGTGACCCGGTCCGTGATCCATCCATGGTGCGTCATGTCTCCATATTGTGACTTCTATGTTGCCATGGTGTTTTTATTTCTCCATTTCCTGTATGCTGATCATAACTTCTGTTGTTTCAGTGAGTTTTTGTTTTATTCTTTCTTTTCTTTGTTTATTATTTTGTTTGTTTTAATCTTCCTCTGTGTTGGACAGTTCGCTGCCTCTGCCACGTCCACATGATCTGTCCTTCAAAGACCCAAAGACAGAAACTTAAAAAATCTTCTATATTGCCTTTGTCTCTCCTGTAAGAACCTGTACATCATGTGAACAGCAGGGGGCACCATCAGCACGTGTAGTGATGGAGGCGTTCAGGCTGGTCGGAAACATGCCAGAATAAACATGGTCACGAGCTGACAGCAGCATTTCCTGTTTCCTTCTTCAGAGCTGAGAACATTTCCAAATCCTGAGAGGTTATCAGCCGCAGTCACACTGAAGGTCGGAGAGACGTGATGTCACAGTGTGAGAGAGGAAAGAGACGTTTTGTCCTGTTACGGTTCAGAGTTTCTACAGCTTAACTTAGTCTTAAGACTTTTTTTAAAGACTTTTTTTTAAATGCCACTCAGAGGAAAATTTGAGACGAATTTTACAATAACAAAAAAAAAACATCAATTAAAATTTTGCCTTAATTTTTACTGTAAAGTTTTCTTGGTGGTTTTATGTTTCTCAGTCTGCATGTTGGATTCTGCTGCTTTGATTCCCATCGAGAGTTAGAAAAACTTTTAAGATCAAACACACTGAGATTCATCGCTCATACATCGCCTCGTACTGGTTTCAGCTGTGCCGCGAAATCTTGGTGAAACAGTCAGTCTTGGTTGAATGCACAAAGCTCCACATGTCGTCCATGAACAGTTAACTCACAGTGGATCCTCTGAACTGAGCTGAAACTAAACCTGAGTGTTGTTGGTTGGTGTGACGTTAATGTGAGAGGCATTCACTACATTATTATTGAAAAATTGATGATACCAATTATTCGTCAATTATTAGTCAGAAAAAACAATAAACTCATGTTTCCCACGACATCATTTCTTTTTCTGTACACGAACAGTTTAAACACGAGTTGTGTTCCTAATTTTTTCTTCTTCTTTCTTCGGTTTCCTCAATAATTTAATTTGTCTTGTCTCTGTCTTATTTTATATCATCTCTTTTATCTGTCTATCTGTCCCTGCACTCGTCTTCAGTTGTCACAGTATTACACAATGAAATATAAAAAAAAAATAAAAAATTAAACAAATGAAATTACATCCGACTTCCCGTCTGAGCATTTTAAGACTTTTTTAAAGATTGAGATATTTTAAGACCAGTTATGAAAAACAAATGAGTGTCAGGCTGAAAGAGGAGTCACTGATCAGGTGACTCCAGATGTGACTCAGATTATTTCAGGTGTTTTACCTCTGAGGATTGGGCTCGTTCTTTTGGTCTCTCTCGTGGCGGATCATCCGACACTTCCCCGTCTCGCCGCTGGGTCTGGAGATGGACATGCCTTTAGAGGCCAACCTGAAAACAGAACATGGTCCAGTTCAGACAAACAGTGCTGAGGTCAAAGGTCAGAGCAGAAACAGAGAACAACAGAGGATCAAACCACAGCAGGAGACGAACACAAACATGAACTGTGTCTCGGTCACACAGCTGCGAGACAAACTCTCAACAACTGAGGAAGACATCGGACCTCACTCTGTGTCCGAGGAAGATATGAGACATGATATATGTTAATATGAGGACAAACAACTGTGAACAAACACAACACTTTTATCTGATTGATTTCATGAACTAATCGATCAATAACTCACAACCAGACATGTTCAACAGAAACATTAATCAACAACACTGTGATAACAAATTAAACTCATGATGTGTGACCTGTGTATTTATTCTCTGTTCTGTTTCTTTAAAACGATTCTTGCCATGTAAACAAATTATTCATTAGTATTTTTCCCTCTCCTACACACCTGTGTGGAAATACATGTACAAAGTATTCGTTCATTCTCAATCACCCATGTGGTGACAGATTTATTTGTCACAAAGTGGACAGATTATATTGTGTATATTTTCTGTGTGTTACCTGTTGTAGATGTCGTCGTCCTCTCCGCCCCAGCCCCAGTAGTTGTTGGGGAAGCCGTTGATCTTCAGGTACTGGTCTTTACTCATCGAGGACACGCCTCCAAAATACTGATTATATGGTAACCTGCAGGACAGACAGACAGACAGACAGACAGACAGACTGTCACACTTTTGACTACAACAGAAAACCTGTACAAAAAGTTGAAACCTTTCAGAAACACACAGTCAGTAAAACTCTGATCTGAGGTCCTGAAGAAGATCCAGTAAAACCTGAGAGACTGAACCTTCATATGAACACACACAGGAAATGGATTTATTGTGTCAGACTTTTAAAATCCCTGTAAACATGTCAGTGTGAGTGAAATGGTCCTGCAGTGAATGTGTCACAGTGGAACTAACACACCCAGATCATGTGACTCCTGCATGTATACAGTCAATCAGACCCAAACTGGCAGAGGCGCTCTGAGCATGCTCCACAGTTTCCGCCCCGGGCTTTGACCAAGAAGTCCAATAGCATTAAATGTGTAAGAGAAGAAGAAGCCGGTAACAACATGGAGAAATCTACATCCAGAGCCGTGACTTTTTGGACGGACCAAATGTACAGAGCTGTAAAGTAGTCCACCATGGTAGCAGTTAGCTGCTAGCTAACCGTAGCTAACTTGTTTGTCCATTGTTTGGTCTGTGACGTAATAGGTCAACAGGAAAAAGGTCCAATACTAACAAGCTGAAAGGGGGCATATCTCCACCTATCGTAGAGGAGTCGCACATACTTGGCTCAATAAATGGATTCCCCTCCCGTGCTTGTATACTGGGACAAGGACAGTAGGCCAGTTAAATGTCCTCGTCCAGCTGGAACTGGAGCTTCACTTCACTGTTACCATGGAAACAGACTGAGTGAGTAAAACTAACTGTATTAACAGGGTCAAAGTTCAGACAGTTTTTCGGATGTAAACTCTGGAGCTTCCTTCCACTGTCGACCATAACCCCAACACAGCAGATATTACTGTCTGTCTGTTTCACAGTCACCAACACTGTCAGACACTGACCTGTAACGATCCATCGATCTGAATCGATATATGAGGTCAATGATCAATGATCCAATATCATCAATGCAAAGTGAAAACATCTGTGTCACTGTCAAACTGCAGCAGGCAAGAGGAGGATGATGAGGATAACGTCACTTGGGAATAAATCAGCAGTGTGGAAATATTTGATTTTGAAAATACAGGTCAAAATACAGGAAACTGATGTCACCATCTCACTCCGCTAACGTCTCACAACAGAAACATCAGCTGCTGTTTCAACAATGTTAGGACGACAAATATGAGCTGAGCTGTTCTGTCAGGAGACGCAGAGACTTAAACCAACAGTTAGAAGGAAAAGTATAAGGTTACATGTCATTTGTTAAACAGAGGAACAAGCTCTGCTAGCTGCTAGGCTAATTTATACAATGTAAACATGCTAATGCTAATAAAGAAGCAACAGTTTGTCTGTGAAACCTGACGGTTGTTACTGAGCTGGATCTGACACTGCTGTTAAATGATGTTGTCTTATGGCTGTTAGGAGACATTTGTCCTCAGGACTTTAAGACAGAAGTTGTCTTCAGGACTTTAAGACAGAAGTTGTCTTCAGGACTTTAAGACACAAGTTTGTCTTCAGGACTTTAAGACATAAGTTGTCTTCAGGACTTTAAGACACAAGTTTGTCCTCAGGACTTTAAGACACAAGTTTGTCTTCAGGACTTTAAGACAGAAGTTTGTCTTCAGGACTTTGAGACACAAGTTTGTCTTCAGGACACTGAGACAGAAGTTTGTCTTCAGGACTTGGAGACAGAAGTTTGTCTTCAGGACACTGAGACAGAAGTTTGTCTTCAGGACTTGGAGACAGAAGGCTCAGAGTCATACTAAAAACATTCAACAGTTCCTACGGTCAGTCTTTTTCTCCCATCAAGTCTGTTTTTATAGATCACAACTTGATAAGTGTTGACGCCTCCTTCAGGCCTCAGTTTGTGAGCACACAGTGTTTATAAATGAGACTCAGTGTAGAGAGGCTGTTAACTACAGTGACAACATGAATGTCTATATCTACAGTCAGTGTTTGGTTTGTCCGTTCTGGGTTACCGTAGAAACATGGCGGAGCAACATGCTGATCTCTGTAGATGAGGACCTGCTCCCTGTGTAGATATACACAGCTCATTCTGAGGGAACCAGAACACAACTATTAGACTCACTTCAAATCCAACACTCTGGAGCTTAATGTGTCCCACTGTCACATTTTAACAACAACAGGAAGTGAAAAGACATTCGTCAAATTTAATCAGATTATCCTGAGTTTGTATGTGTCTACAGGAAACAGGAAGTGAGGAGCCTGACAGATGGCGGAGTTTGAGAGCTGATCTCTTCCTCTGTGGTGTCACTGCCAGAACATGCAAAGCCACAGCTCAGCAGTTTCCTCCAAAACACACACACACACACACACACACACACACACACACACACACACACACACACAGTGACGATAGTTGACACAGAGACAAAGATCAGTCTGAGCAGCAGCAGAACACAAACATCAGTCGTCACCACTAAAACAAACAAACTGAAGCTTCACACTGAAAACTTCCACTGGCCCGTAACAGTGACGTATCATTGCACAGGTGTGGTCTCACCTGAAGCCGAACTTGTCCATGGACACGGACAGGTGTCGAGGCTGACTGAAGCACTTGTAGGTGTTGCGGTCGTCCATGGGAATCAGATCCACATCGCTGAAGACAAAGCACTCGTAGTCGTACTCCTTCAGAGCCTCCACGTAGCCCACGTTCAGCAGCTTGGCTCGGTTAAAGGTCTCGTCTCCATCCTGACCCACACAGACACACACTGGGTTAAACCCACACAAACGCACCCTCCTGAAACATTCACATCTTTAAACCTGATCTTTAAACTCAGAGATGTTGAAGAGATTTCTGTTTGTCAAAAAAAAAACGATGACTGACGTTTATCAGTTTGTTTGCTGTGTTGAAACCTATTCTTATGAAATGGGACAAAAAAAACTTAAAATGGTAACTTATCAACACACTAATGTCATTACTGGAGTGACACATTATTTGGAAAGGATTTATATGTATTAAATAAATCTGATTCATAAGATATTTTAATCTACTGTCATATTTTAAACTTTAAACTTGCCCTGTGGAAGAAAACAGACTCATCACAACTTCAAACTATTATAAACATGTTAAAGCCTTTAAAATATAATCAGAGTCAAAATGAAATGTTATAATCATTTTTGTTTTTAAGTATTTTATTTAAGCATATATTTTTCATTTTAAAGATGTGTCTCAGATTTTTGTCAGCTCTGTCAGATTTCTAATTTAATCAGGTATAAAAGGAGTTAACCACATCACAAGGACTTCCTGTCTCACTTCCTGGTTTCCATAAAGGTGGGAATGCTGCACAGGGTCAGGTCAGATTTTTATTTTATGATAAATTCATTAAATAATATTTCTATCAGCTGTGTCTAAACTATCAGGTCGACTCTGTACCTCCTCTAAATCCAAACTAAAGAAGCACTATGGTTTGAAACTTAGTATTTTGATCAGCATTATGAGAACTTAAAGAACTTCAAAAGCAAAATGTCTCCTCACTGAGACTGCTGTCAAATTAATAAATATAGAACTTTTAGATCTCAGTGATCTTTGTAGATCTTAGTGCCGACCGTGCATGCAGCCTGTTACAGCTGCTGTAATGGATCACAGTTTCCCCTCAGGGATCAATGAAGTATTTTGGATTCTGAGTCTTCTTTATAAACTCTGTCAGATTTGACCTCTGACATCCATCATGTACGATATTCAAGAAATAATTAGGCCCATTATGTGGCTGAACAGTTAAGACCTTGGTCTTTTAAAATATATTTTTCAGCATAACTAAAGAGTAAAAATAAACAACCCCAAAACAGTAAAGAACAACCACATTTTAATTTCAATGTTGTTCAGAAAAATCACGACGATCTCTTCAGCTGAGTCACTAACCTCAGAACTGTACGTAACCCGTACGGTCATAAACCCAGCGCCTCCTTATTGTGGAACATTCACATGATGCAGCACAGAGACAAGAACAGGACCAAAAATACATGGAGACAAATAAGTGTTCAGAACTTTAGACAAACCCAAAAATGATGTTCTCATGACTGAACTAAACCAGACAGCCTGGTGGACACACGGTTTAAGAGTTGGCATCAAAATGTGCTGCTTGTCTTTATTTATTTTTGTTGGTTTGACTGTCTGTCAGATCAGTTTTAAAATTGTAAATTAAAACTTTAAATTAAAGACGTGAAGCTGTGAAAAGCTTTTTTACTGCTTTCTGGTGTTTGAGAGATTGAAGTGATTAATCCTATCATCAGCAGATAAAATCAGTGATCAGAGGAGTCGTTGGTCTGGCTCTGCACACGAGATCTGATGATTCTCTGATGAGAACAACACAGAGAGAAGAACTCAGAGGAAGATGAGAACAACACAGAGAGAAGAACTCAGAGGAAGATGAGAACAACACAGAGAGAAGAACTCAGAGGAAGATGAGAACAACACAAAGAGAAGAACTCAGAGGAGGATGAGAACAACACAAAGAGAAGAACTCAGAGGAGGATGAGAACAACACAGAGAGAAGAACTCAGAGGAGGATGAGAACAACACAGAGAGAAGAACTCAGAGGAGGATGAGAACAACACAGAGAGAAGAACTCAGAGGAGGATGAGAACAACACAGAGAGAAGAACTCAGAGGAGGATGAGAACAACACAGAGAGAAGAACTCAGAGGAGGATGAGAACAACACAGAGAGAAGAACTCAGAGGAGGATGAGAACAACACAGAGAGAAGAACTCAGAGGAGGATGAGAACAACACAGAGAGAAGAACTCAGAGGAGGATGAGAACAACACAGAGAGAAGAACTCAGAGGAGGATGAGAACAACACAGAGAGAAGAACTCAGAGGAGGATGAGAACAACACAGAGAGAAGAACTCAGAGGAGGATGAGAACAACACAGAGAGAAGAACTCAGAGGAGGATGAGAACAACACAGAGAGAAGAACTCAGAGGAGGATGAGAACAACACAGAGAGAAGAACTCAGAGGAGGATGAGAACAACACAGAGAGAAGAACTCAGAGGAGGATGAGAACAACACAGAGAGAAGAACTCAGAGGAGGATGAGAACAACACAGAGAGAAGAACTCAGAGGAGGATGAGAACAACACAGAGAGAAGAACTCAGAGGAGGATGAGAACAACACAGAGAGAAGAACTCAGAGGAGGATGAGAACAACACAGAGAGAAGAACTCAGAGGAGGATGAGAACAACACAGAGAGAAGAACTCAGAGGAGGATGAGAACAACACAGAGAGAAGAACTCAGAGGAGGATGAGAACAACACAGAGAGAAGAACTCAGAGGAGGATGAGAACAACACAGAGAGAAGAACTCAGAGGAGGATGAGAACAACACAGAGAGAAGAACTCAGAGGAGGATGAGAACAACACAGAGAGAAGAACTCAGAGGAGGATGAGAACAACACAGAGAGAAGAACTCAGAGGAGGATGAGAACAACACAGAGAGAAGAACTCAGAGGAGGATGAGAACAACACAGAGAGAAGAACTCAGAGGAGGATGAGAACAACACAGAGAGAAGAACTCAGAGGAGGATGAGAACAACACAGAGAGAAGAACTCAGAGGAGGATGAGAACAACACAGAGAGAAGAACTCAGAGGAGGATGAGAACAACACAGAGAGAAGAACTCAGAGGAGGATGAGAACAACACAGAGAGAAGAACTCAGAGGAGGATGAGAACAACACAGAGAGAAGAACTCAGAGGAGGATGAGAACAACACAGAGAGAAGAACTCAGAGGAGGATGAGAACAACACAGAGAGAAGAACTCAGAGGAGGATGAGAACAACACAGAGAGAAGAACTCAGAGGAGGATGAGAACAACACAGAGAGAAGAACTCAGAGGAGGATGAGAACAACACAGAGAGAAGAACTCAGAGGAGGATGAGAACAACACAGAGAGAAGAACTCAGAGGAGGATGAGAACAACACAGAGAGAAGAACTCAGAGGAGGATGAGAACAACACAGAGAGAAGAACTCAGAGGAGGATGAGAACAACACAGAGAGAAGAACTCAGAGGAGGATGAGAACAACACAGAGAGAAGAACTCAGAGGAGGATGAGAACAACACAGAGAGAAGAACTCAGAGGAGGATGAGAACAACACAGAGAGAAGAACTCAGAGGAGGATGAGAACAACACAGAGAGAAGAACTCAGAGGAGGATGAGAACAACACAGAGAGAAGAACTCAGAGGAGGATGAGAACAACACAGAGAGAAGAACTCAGAGGAGGATGAGAACAACACAGAGAGAAGAACTCAGAGGAGGATGAGAACAACACAGAGAGAAGAACTCAGAGGAGGATGAGAACAACACAGAGAGAAGAACTCAGAGGAGGATGAGAACAACACAGAGAGAAGAACTCAGAGGAGGATGAGAACAACACAGAGAGAAGAACTCAGAGGAGGATGAGAACAACACAGAGAGAAGAACTCAGAGGAGGATGAGAACAACACAGAGAGAAGAACTCAGAGGAGGATGAGAACAACACAGAGAGAAGAACTCAGAGGAGGATGAGAACAACACAGAGAGAAGAACTCAGAGGAGGATGAGAACAACACAGAGAGAAGAACTCAGAGGAGGATGAGAACAACACAGAGAGAAGAACTCAGAGGAGGATGAGAACAACACAGAGAGAAGAACTCAGAGGAGGATGAGAACAACACAGAGAGAAGAACTCAGAGGAGGATGAGAACAACACAGAGAGAAGAACTCAGAGGAGGATGAGAACAACACAGAGAGAAGAACTCAGAGGAGGATGAGAACAACACAGAGAGAAGAACTCAGAGGAGGATGAGAACAACACAGAGAGAAGAACTCAGAGGAGGATGAGAACAACACAGAGAGAAGAACTCAGAGGAGGATGAGAACAACACAGAGAGAAGAACTCAGAGGAGGATGAGAACAACACAGAGAGAAGAACTCAGAGGAGGATGAGAACAACACAGAGAGAAGAACTCAGAGGAGGATGAGAACAACACAGAGAGAAGAACTCAGAGGAGGATGAGAACAACACAGAGAGAAGAACTCTTTAACAGAAAGAAGAAGAACTATTTACAGATGTGACTCTGAGCTGTAGAGACTAATGTCTTCATGTTTGTCTCTGTTTAACTCTTTAATGACGTCACTCTTCTTCTTCCTCTTCACTGTCTTTGTTTATTTCACACTAACTGGTTCAGCAGAGGTTCTTTGGCTGTGTGATTGTACTGGTCCAGACTGGTTCTACTGGTCCATCTGATATAACTTCATTGTGTAACTATCAGCTCTCATGACTGTTGGTATGTGTTTCCTCACCACGGGGAGTTTTCCTCTGAGGATCGAGACTGCTGTCTTTTAATATTCTAGACTATAAATTAATGTCAGTCTATTTATCGCCCCATTTACTTCCTGTATCTGACTGAATGTAATCAGCTGATGTGACATCATCACATCCAGAGATTTACAGCAGCAGAAAATATATTCAACCATTCACAGTTTATTTTCATTATCTGATGAACCAAAGACACAATTCAGGAAAAATGAATTTAATTTTTGATGAAGGACGTCACCTTTTATTCAGAGAGAAAATAAATTAAATATCAATATTAGTAATTAATTTACTGTGATCTGCTGACATTACGAAACTAGAATTACCGCCACGTGGTTGTACGCCTCCGCCAACCCATTAAACTGTACTTCCAGTCTGCATCCATGTCAGTGA